CCAACACAAAGTAACACATCTCACAGGCTATCAACTGATACCACATCACAAAGTTACACAAAGTAATACATCTCACTGGCTATCAACTGATACTCCCCATTGGCTATCAACTGATAGCCAGTGAGATGTGATACTTTGTGTAACTTTGTGATGTAGAATCAGTTGATAGCCAGTGAAATGTGTTACTTTGTGTAACTTTGTGATGTAGAATCAGTTGATAGCCAGTGAAATGTGTTACTTTGTGTTACTGTGTGTTGTGTAACTTTGTTTTACCTTGTGTTACTGCAATTGGATGTGTTACTGTGTGATGTAGTATCAGATGATAGCCAGTGGAACATGTTAATATAGTTTTCTTTATGTTACCTTGTGTTACTGCAATTGGATGTGTTACTGTGTGATGTAGTATCAGTCGATAGCCAGTGAGATGTATTACTTTGTGTAACTTTTTGTTACTGTGTGTTGTGTAACTTTGTTTTACCTTGTGTTACTCTTTGTGTAACTTTTTGTTACTGTGTGTTGTGTAACTTTGTTTTACCTTGTGTTACTCTTTGTGTAACTTTTTGTTACTGTGTGTTGTGTAACTTTGTTTTACCTTGTGTTACTCTTTGTGTAACTTTTTGTTACTGTGTGTTGTGTAACTTTGTGTGACCTTGTGTTACTGTGTGTTGTAGTATCAGGTGTTAGCCACTTTGTGATGTAGTACCAGGTGACAGCCAATGGGATGTGTTTCTTTGTGTAACTTTTTGTTATTTTTGTGTTTCTTTGTGATGTAGTTTCAGTTGATAGCCAATTGGATGTGTTACTGTGTGATGTAGTATCAGATGATAGCCAGTGGAACGTGTTAATATAGTTTACTTTATGTTTCCTTGTGTTACTGTGTGTTGTGTAACTTTGTTTTACCTTGTGTTACTGCAATTGGATGTGTTACTGTGTGATGTAGTATCAGATGATAGCCAGTGGAACATGTTAATATAGTTTACTTTATGTTACCTTGTGTTACTCTTTGTGTAACTTTTTGTTACTGTGTGTTGTAGTATCAGGTGTTAGCCAGTGGAACATGTTAATATAGTTTACTATATGTTACTTTGTGTTACTGTGTGTTGTGTAACTTTGTTTTACCTTGTGTTACTCTTTGTGTAACTTTTTGTTACTGTGTGTTGTAGTATCAGGTGATAGCCAGTGTGATGTGTTACTTTGTGTTACTGTGTGTTGTAGTATCAGGTGATAGCCAGTGGAACATGTTAATATAGTTTACTATATGTTACTTAGTTGATAGCCAATGGGATGTGATACTTTGTGTAACTTTTTGTTACTGTGTGTTGTGTAACTTTGTGGTGTAGTATCAGGTGATAGCCTGTGAGATGTGTTACTTTGTGTTACTGTGTATTGTAATATCAGGTGATAGCCAGTGTGATGTGTTACTTTGTGACGTAGTATCAGTTGATAACCAGTGAGATGTGTTATTTTGTGTAACTTATTGTTATTTTGTGTTACTTTATGATGTAGTATCAGTCGATAGCCAGTGAGATGTGATACTTTGTGTAACTTTGTGATGTGGTATCAGTTGATAGCAAATTGTATGTGTTTCTTTGTGATGTAGTTTCAGTTGATAGCCAATGGGATGTGTTGCTTTGTGATGTAGTATTTGTGTTCTGTGTGTTGATATGTTTTATTGTGTTCTGTGAGTTGGGATGTTTTATTGTGTTCTGTGAGTTGGGATGTTTTATTGTGTTCTGTGTGCTGGTATGTTTTACTACATGTTAATGTTTGTTGCTATATTTAATTTTGTTTTTTACTTTGTGTAACTTTGTGATGTAGAATCAGTTGATAGCCAGTGGTATGTTTTACTACACGTTACTGTTTGTTGCTATATTTAACTCTGTTTTTTACTTTGTGTAACTTTTTGTTACTGTGTGTTGTAGTATCAGGTGTTAGCCATTGGAACGTGTTAATATAGTTTACTATATGTTACTTAGTTGATAGCCAATGGGGAGTATCAGTTGATAGCAAATTGGATGTGTTACTGTGTGATGTAGTATCAGGTGACAGCCAATGGGATGTGATACTTTGTGTAACTTTTTGTTACTGTGTGTTGTAGTATCAGGTGTTAGCCAGTGGAACATGTTAATATAGTTTACTATATGTTACTTTGTGTTACTGTGTATTGTAATATCAGGTGATAGAGATGTGTTACTTTGTGTAACTTATTGTTATTTTGTGTTACGTTGTGATGTAGTATCAGGTGACAGCCAATGGGATGTGTTACTTTGTGTTGGTATGTTTTACTACATGTTAATGTTTGTTGCTATATTTAACTCTGTTTTTTACTTTGTTACACAAAGTAACAAATCTCACTGGCTATCAGTTGATAGCCAATTGGATGTGTTACTTTGTGATGTAGTATCAGGTGACAGCCAATGGGATGTGTTACTTTGTGATGTAGTATCAGTTGATAGCCAATGGGATGTGTTACTTTGTGTAACTTTGTGTGACCTTGTGTTACTGTGTGTTGTAGTATCAGGTGATAGCCAGTGGAACATGTTAATATAGTTTACTATCTGTTACTTTGTGTTACTGTGTATTGTAATATCAGGTGATAGCCAGTGGAACATGTTAATATAGTTTACTTTATGTTACCTTGTGTTACTGTGTGTTGTAGTATCAGGTGATAGCCAGTGGAACGTGTTAATATAGTTTACTTTATGTTACATAGTGTTTTTGTGTGTTGTAGTATCAGATGATAGCCAGTGGAACGTGTTAATATAGTTTACTTTATGTTACTTTGTGTTACTGTGTGTTGTAGTATCAGGGGTTAGCCATTGGAACGTGTTAATATAGTTTACTTTATGTTACTTTGTGTTACTGTGTATTGTAATATCAGGTGATAGCCAGTGGAACATGTTAATATAGTTTACTTTATGTTACTTTGTGTTACTGTGTGTTGTAGTATCAGATGATAGCCAGTGGAACATGTTAATATAGTTTACTATATGTTACATTGTGTTTTTGTGTGTTGTAGTATCAGATGAA